TGATACTTTCACAGACAGAGACAGAGAAGCAGGTGAGGCAAGCTGGCAGTCACAAAGCGCCTCCCCCCCCCCCCCCCGGTGCAGTGTGGGGGGTGAGGTGGATTCCAGCCAGAGGAAACACCCTGTCCCCCAATCGCACAGGAAACACCCTGTCCCCCAATAGTGGGCACAGGAAACACCTTGTCCCCCACCCCCACCCCATACAGGGTCACGGTGCGGAAGATGAAGGTATACTGAGGCTCACACAGGTGCCAGGCCCGGCCAAGGCAGGGGTGTCTGCCTCCAGCCTCCCCGCCCCCCACCTACCTGCTGAGCCCCCGTGGGAAGGGGGAAGGGGAGCTGCGTGGCGGGCGTGTACAGGGGTGAGGTGTCCTGAAGGCTTGGGGCTGGCTGGCCCCCTGCTGGGAGCTGGCTCAGGTGCTGGAAGCAGCGGGAGGGAGGACAGAGGCTCAGCATGGAGGGGGCTGGGGGGGGAGTACCTTCTCCCTCCCCAACCACGCAGCTGCACTTACGCTGGCTCCGTGGCTGCCTATGGGGCCGAGACCCAGCAGGCCTCGCGGGGCCATGCCCGACGAGGCGTGGAGCACGGGGCCCGGGGGGGTGGCCATGTGCAGGTCAGCAGCCCTCGCCAAGGCACCTGTGGGGGAGAGGGAGGCACAGCGTAAGGCTGGGGGAATGGTGGCTGGGGCCGGAGTCAGCCCTGCGCCCTTTTAGGAGCGGTACGGTACACAGTGGGTGGTTGGCCAGTCTCTTTGCTGGGGTAGAGTGGTGTAAAGTGGGACCGGGGCTGGGCTGAGCCTGCTTCCCTCCTTGTACTTACCTGTGAAAGATCTGAGGGGTAGTGAATACTGTCTAACAAGCACTGAGAACATGTTCAGCATGTGAGAACAATCTCCATAAAGATGCAGCACTAAGAAACGGAAGCTACAGTTCATGGTTTATTTCTTCTCCTCAAACACAAAAACAATCACAGCAGCGATCTCCATAGCTCCCCCATGTGCCTTTAGCTCCAGGAACAGCATGTGTGACCATCACCTGTGCGGGACCCGTGACAGACATGGCTAATCTACCCCAGAGTCTCATGACAGCAGCTGGATCTCAGTCAGTGCTGGTGAAACCAAGTTGACCTGTAAAGTGGAAGGGCCTGCCTTGTCTGAGCATCTATTGCCCACCAGCTGTTGAAGTGCTTCTCATACAGCTGGCTCCCGTTGCCCCCACAAGAGCAGAAACTGCTCAGAGGAGAAAGCACTTGCCTCTAAGGGCTCTACATTAGGGTTAGAGACCTGAGCCAAAGCTTGGTTTGTGAATAAAGTTTTATTGGCACATAGCCATGTCTATTCATTTGCTTACTGCCAGTGGTTAGTTTTGTACTACAGCAATATATATATTTAAAAAGCAAATATATATTTATATATATATATATTTAAAAAGCAAATTTAAAAAGCAAATTTACTGGACCCTCTGTATACATGCTTTGCTCAGGAATAATTTGCCCACTGAGATAAACATTGCTAGACACCAGGCTTTGACTGACTGTGCATTAGTGGGTTACTGATAATGTTCGTCATTGTTTGGTTTTTCTTCAACCTGTTTCTTTTTTTCTTTTGGTCCGTCGTGGGGCTTGAACTCTGGGCCTGGGTGCTGTCCCTCAGATTTTCAGCTCAAGGCTAGCGCTCTACCACTTGAGCCACAGCGCCACTTCTGGCCTTTTCTGTTTATGTGGTGCTGAGGAAGCGAACCCAGGACCTCAGGCATGTGAGGCAAGCGCTCTACCGCTGAGCCACCTTCCCAGCCCTTTCTTCAACCTGTTTCGAAGCATTTAACCCCTTGCTGTGATCACAACGTGCTGACAGTTATGACACCTACTGTATGCCAGGGTTCTAGAATAGAGACAGCAAACTTCTTTATCAGGCACTAGGTAGCAGATATTTTAGGCCTTGCCAGCTATGTGGTTTTTGTCCCTTTCCACTCCTTTCTATTCTTTTCCTTTCCTCCATTCCTCTCTCTCTTTCCCTTCCTTCCTTCCTTCCTTCCCTCCCTTATCTCTTCCTCTCTTCCTCTTTCTCTCTCCTCCTTCCTCCCTTCCTTTTCTTCTCTCTCTTCCTTTCCTCCATTCCTCTCCCTCCTTCTTTTCCTTTCTTTCTTTCTTCCTTTCCCTTCCTTTCATCTTTCTTTCTTTCTTTCTTTCTTTCTCTCTCTCTCTCTCTCTGTCCTCCTCCTTCTCTCTCCTTCCTTCCTTTCCTTCTTACCTCCCTTTCCTTTCCTTTCCCATTCTTTCCTTCCCTCCCTCCCTCCCTTTCTCTCTCCCCCTTTCTTCCTTTCTTCTTTCTCTTTTGTTCTCTCTTTCCCGTTCTTGAAAAATAATCATTCTTGTGTATGTGTGTGCTCACACACGTGTGCACACTGGTAGTTGGGGCTTGAACTCAAGGCTAATGCTCTACCACTTGAGCTCCACGTCTGGCTTTTTGGTAGTTAATGGAGGTAAGAATCTCACAGACTTTTCCTGCCTGGACCAGCCTTGAACCTCAGTCCTCAAGTCTGAGTCGTTGGGATTACAGGGTGAGCCACCCTTGCCTGGCACAGAACCATTCTCAGCGCTTGGAAGAAACGGGCCTCGGCTGCATTGGGCCCTCGGCCTACAGGTTTGCAGTGGGGCATCAGGGGGCCGCAGGGCGGGGGAAGGGCTGTCTTTCCTGTGGCTGCTGCAGGCGCTGCCCTCCCTGATGTGAAGGCTGGCAGAGGGTGGAACTCACCCCACTTTGTGGATGTGGAGATGGAGGCCCAGAGATGGAAAGCTGCCCGCAGCCACCCTGCCCCGGCCCTCGCCCTGCATACCTGGGTGCGGATGTGGCTCCCTGCGGACGTTGGCCATCTGCTGCAGCCGGGGCACGTCCACGGCTGTGAGCCACGACAGCGACTGCAGGTCCCCCGGCAGGTCCTCATCGCGGGTGGGCGGAAGGAGGCTGCGGAGAGGAGCGGAAGCTCGGGCGGGAGGGGGAGCTACAGCCAGTTGCTGGTGGGTGGGGGCTGCCTGGCCTCTAGAACACCCCCCAGCCCCTGCACTGCCCCTTGTGGAGACTGGACCTGGGAGCCTGGCCCCGGGGGTCCCCGTACATCCTGAGTGCTCCTTGAATTTCACACCCAGTCCAGATGGTTATCCATAACTTCCCAGGTGCCCAGCCCTGATGCAGCTCTGTTACTCCAAGGGGGCAAAGATTCCTTTCCAGGGTACACATCCTTAATCCGCCCCCCTAGTCTGCCAGGATCCAATTCCCTCAGTGGAACACCCCACACCCAGGTTCATTCGAAGGGTCACAGTCAAACTGAGGTGTGTGGGAAATCCTAGAGGAAATCAACCACCCTGAGGTTATATGGATAAGATACTCCAAGAAGCCAGGCACTGGTGGCTCACGCCTGTAATCCCAGCTACTCAAGAGGCTGAGATCTAAGGATCACAGTTCAAAACCAGTCCCGGCAGGAAAGTCCATGAAATGGACTCTTATCTCTAATAAGCCACAAAATTTTACCAGCGCACGCACACACATACACACCCAAAGGACACAGTACATACCATCAAGCAGAGTTAGGGGTGTGGCTGAGTGGTAGAATATTTGCCTAGCATGCACAAGGTTCTGGGTTTGGTCCCCTTCCCAAATCCTATGTGTAAGATACATATAAAAATGAATGGATTTAACGTTTAGTCTTGAGTCCTATCACTGAGAAATCTCATTATGTCTATGAAAATGTTACGAAATCTAAAGCAAAATGTAAAACACTGGATCAACCCTTTTTTTTTTTTGCCAGTCTTGGGGCTTGAACTCCGGGCCTGGGCGCTGTCCCTCAGCTCTTCAGCTCAAGGCTAGCACTCTACCACTTGAGCCACAGCGCCACTTCTGGCTTTTTCTGCTTATGTGATGCTGAGGAATTGAACTCAGGCCCTCATGCATGCAAGGCAAGCGCTCTACCACTGAGCCACCTTCCCATCCCCTAACCAACATTTCTGATAAGGGATTACTAGACTTGCACTCCCATGTCGCAGCTGGGGAAACTGAGGCTCAGATCACTGAGTCCCTTGCTCAAAGCTGCATGGCACAGGAAGGGATGAAGCTGGGATCAGGCAGCATGGCTGGAGCAGAGCTCATTCCCCCAGATGAGTCTGGGGGCTCTAGGGCAGATCCGAACTCATGCCCACTGGGCTCTCTACAGGTTCCTGAACAGAAGTGGGAGGAAAGGTCGGGCTGCCTAGAGCCCACACCAGCGCTGTGACTATAAGCCACCTCCCCAGAGGCCCACAGTCTTCAAACGCCAATGGGATGGGGTCTGAGACCAAGCTGAGGGGGAGAGGAGAAGGCAGAGGGACCCCAGTTAATCACAGCCTTCTGGGGGTGGGGCTCTGGCATGGGGTCCCATCACCCACTGGCTGCCTGGAGTCCCTGGCCTCCCTCTCCGACTCCCTCATCTTCCCGTCCCCTCCTCCCCGACTCTTGGCTCACTCTCCTTGTGTCTCTGGACCACAATTAGCGTTGCCATGACCCCCCCTCCCCCCAACTCCCCCACCCCCCACCCCACCACAGCCACCGCTGCCACCGCTGCTCAGTGAGGCCCAGGCCCCTTTCCTAGAGACTGGCAGCAGGTGACTGACTGCCCGCCCGCCTCCTCCCATTGGCTGCCCGGCCAGAAAACCCAGCCCGGGGAGACAGTTTGAAAATTCGCCTGGGTCATTCAGTGGCAACTGTTGGGGCCGCTGCCGGCCCCCAGTGGCCCAGGGAACAAAAACTCGACTGTTGCCCCTGCCCATGGCACGTGGCCCCCATTGTTCCGAGGTCTCTGTGCTTTTGTTTCTGGGGCCCCCCTGCTGCCGCCCTCCAAGCCTGCTTCTAACTTGTCTGGCTGAGTGACAGCCTCGGCCCAGGTCCCCACCATCTGTCCCCGCAGGCCCTCAGAGACCAGGGCAAGAATAGAGCAACAAGGCCCATTCCACGGCCACCTGGCCAACCCCTCTCTGCTTCATGCCATAGGCCAGCCAAGCCCGTAGGGTCTGCTGGTGCGAGCCCCACTCCTACTCAGTAACCTGCTATGGCTCCCCGCTTTTGCCCTGGCTGCTCTGGGGAAGAAGGGAGGGGAGCCAGGAGGAGGCTGAGATCTGAGGATCTCGGTTCAAAGCCAGCCCAGGCAGGAAGGTCCGTGAGACTCTGATCTCCAATGAACCACCAGAAAACCGGGAATAGTGCTGTGGCTCAAGTGGTAGAGCGCTCGCCTTGAGCTGAAGAGCTGAGGGACAGCGCCCAGGCCCAGAGTTCAAGCCCTATGACCAAAAAAAGAGGAGGAGGAGGAGGGGGGGGGAGAGGAGTCCCTGCTAGTAGGGGACCCACAAAGCTCCTGCAGATGTTGGAAGGCATCTTGCAAATCAATGAGCCACCTGGATGATGTCCTCCAATGGAGAGGCAAGTGAGACCAGCAGGTCCTGGGTTCTAATGCTGGTTCCCTTGAAGCACTGTCTTCAGCAATCTGAGCCTCAAGGTTTTCATCTGCAAAAATGCCAGGCACCAGTGGCTCATGCCTGTCATCCTAGCTGCTCAGGAGGCTGAGATCTGAGGATCGCAGTTCAAAGCCAGCCTGGGCAGGAAAGACCGTGAGACTCTTATCTCCAATAAACCACCAGAAAACCATAAGTGGTGCTGTAGCTCACATGGTAGAATACTCACCTTGAGCTGAGGAGCTCAGGGACAGCGCCTAGGCCCAGAGTTCAAGCCCCACGACCAACCCCCTCCCCCCCCAAAAAAAATGCAGATACGCGATCATTCCTCCACCTCATAGGACATTGTTCTTTTTTTTTTTTTGTCAGTCATGGGCCTGAACTCTGGGCCTGGGCACTGTCCCTCAGCTCTTCAGCTCAAGGCTAGTGCTCTACCACTTGAGCCACAGGGCCACTCCTGGCTTTTTCTGCTTATGTGGTGCTGAGGAATGGAACCCAGGGCCTCATGCATGCAAGGCAAGCACTCTACCACTGAGCCACCTTCCCAGCCCCAGGACATTGTTCTTATGCAGCAAAGGGGACAGTGGTCCACAGGGTCCTGTAGTCTAGCAGTCACACCAATACAAATGTCACTAGGGACATTAGCCAGACTACTCGGGGTCTGCGACCTCCCACCTCTGACCTTCAACCACGAACTACGTCTCTTTACTAAATGCTACCTAGAAGCCGGCCTGGATCACATGCTGTGGGGTGTTACACCCGGACAGGCAATGGCTGCACCCCCAGGTCTCTCGGGAGGCCAGCACCGGCGTTGTGTCCCCTGCTGAGTATCAGTGACCCCAGGGATCCCCTACATTGGAGCAGGGAAACCTTGAACCCCGTAGCGAAGGAACAGCACAGAGCTGAGCGCGCAGTGGGTGGAGTGCACTTCCAACAGCTCTACGCATGCGTGGACACAAAGTCCTGCTGACCCCTGTGGCACGGCTCGGGGTGGGGAGACCTGGAGGCTCAGCCTGGAGCTGGAGACATACCTGCACCCCACTTCACAGCCTCCACCCCGTCCTGCCATTGCTGGGTGAACGATGAGCCTGGCCACTGCCAGTGTCCCTTCTGTGGCAAAGACCTGGAGCCTTCTGGGAGTGCCCCCCCCCCCCGGGAAGTCCCTGGCCACACTTCTGAAGTATCCTCACCGTAGGCAAGGCCTCACCCGGTCTGGGTCTCAGTTTCCCCCACTGAAGGCAGCAAGCAGCCCGGCAGGGGGACCCTCGGTCACCCGCTGGTCTCTGTTCACAGGCTGAGCAGTGCAGTGGGAGCCCTGTGACCCGGGGGCAGGTGACTTAACCAGCCCTGGCCTCAGTTTCCCCCGCCCGAGGCACCTGCTGCGCGCGGACAGTGCTGCACACTGTTGGTGTGCCAGCGCTCCCCACCTGGGGTCTTCCTCAGCCCCATGGGGGTTCAGTCGCCAGCAGAGCTCCCGGCTGAGCCCCAGCCCCCTCCCCCACAGGAGAGTTCAGCCATGTGCTTACTTTCCCTCAGCCACACCCACGTGTGCAATGCGTGCACACGCACTCCCACCTGCCCGCTTCACGCCAACTTGCACGCGTGACACGCACGCGCACTCACGCACAGGCACGCGCACGCAGAGACGGAGGCATGGGCTCGCCCTCTTTCGCCCGCAGGAAAAGGTGAGGCGGAGCCGCACTGAGCTGCAGCCACCCCCGTGCTGTCCCGTGCCTCAGTTTCCCCACTGGAAATGCCACTGGGGAGGGGCGGCGAGCCCCGTCTTTCTCTGTGGAGATGTGTCTATGCCGTGTGAGGACGGCCTGGGTGGGACCGCGAGAGCGGTGGTCACTCTGGGGGTCTTTCCAAAAGATGCCCAAGGTAGAGGTCAGTCCTGGGTTACCAGCCAGACAACAGCACCATGCAGGTCCATCGAGGTCAGAATAACAACCCCCCCCCCCCCCCCCCCCCCCGCTCTTTACATGCTCTGCTGTGCTCTGGGTTTTGCTCTGGAGGCTCTGAGCTCATGGGAGGGGCCCAGCCCTGGTCCTCTCCTCCCCCCTCTTACCCCACCCCTCCCCCTCACTGCCCCACCCCCACCCCATGGCTCACTCTCCACAGGGCTATGGAGCCGCGTAGGCCTGCACCTCAGGGCTCATCCACCTCCGTGGGCCTCGGTTTGCCCAGCTGTAAAGTGGGAGCGTGCCCATCCCCTCCCCCCAGCATGGCTTCCGCCACGCAGGTGGAGGCTCCCACAAATGCAGGTGGGTCATCCGATCCAACAGCTCCCCCATGGAGTATGTGGGCTCCATGGGCTTCACTCAGGTCCCCAGCTCTCGGGAGGCGTATGCATTCTCCACAGAACACCCCACGCGGCCATCTGCCAGGCGCCAGCAGATGAGGAGGAGGAGGAGGAGGCCAGGCGGTGACCCCCTTTTGTCTGCACCTCTGGAATGGACCTCTCCCAGGCTCCATCCCACAGCTGGG